TGTGTCGAAATTACTTTCTGGGTATTAGACTTGCGTGCCAACGCATGCTATAGTATTGAGTTAAATAAAACCCCAACAATTCGGCTGTAAAACAAATTGTACTCATAGCGTGCATTTGGTAAATGGGTCAAACAAATGTCGCCTTTACATGAGGGTTACTGAAAAAAAGACGCCTGATTTTTTTTACAAAATGAGATTAGACAAGAACAGTCAAGTGTGATTGATATTACAAAAGTTGTCATATTATTTGTTCGTTGGAAAATAGCAAACACTACAGGGTATTGAACATGTTCAGTAAATATTGTCAAACATTAGTTGTTTATGGACGATTAGTTGTACACATTTATGCTTCATTATGCTTTTACAAAAAAATGTTTTCAAAATAAAATAAAATGCACTCTCTATGGATATCTTGTGTGTAACTTTGAACAAAATATTCATCGAACAAAACATACGTGTGCTAAAAATTTTGTCACGTAGAACTTCTGAAAACATTTCTCAATATGTGGTCACAAAGTAAATGCACTTTCTATGTAGTTGTTTTGTATAAGTTTGAAAGTGAAACTTTTGAAAAAAAAAATTCAAGATTGGTAGACAAAAAAGTTGACATGTATAAAAGTTCTGTACAAGAATTTTTTCTGTAAGTTTGCTCAAGACACAAAAGTCATAATCTTTCATTCTTGTCTGAAAGAGTACTATTATGTGTAAGTTTGACGTCTACAAAACAAAAATGCACGCTCTACGTATGCTGAAATAGCGTTGAAATTCATTCATTCATGATGCTTGGAGTTTTTTTGTTAAGATGAAATGGTGCACTATGAAGTTGATTCAATGGCCAGTATCGTTCAGATCTGCCACCTCCCTATCATAAGATGTGTCCGACTGAACAACACATACTTAGGTTATTTCTTCGCCTTCTTGTAATGTTAGTTTGTATGTAGATTGCATGAATTATCCACTATATGGGAGTATGTTGATAATCATAACTGAAACCCCAAAAATGTGTTTATTTATTTTAAGAATATA